AAAAAAGCAGTATTTCTGACAGATTTGGCATGTGGCTGAGGTTGGAAAGTCAAGCAGTCGTTTTCTTTCTCTCTCTTACCTCACTCCAGGGAAATCTGTAATATGCGCAAAGCCTTGATTTATTTTTTGCACTCTGGCATATTACTGGAAAATAATTATGAAATAAAACTTAATGAAAAACAAAAGATATTTAGGCCTATTTTTTATATAAGTTATACCTAAACTGTGATTCTTACCAAAGATATTTGTTTCCTGTGTTTTTTCTCCTGCCAAGTTCAGCCATATATCACTTTTATGCATCTGAAGGCCATGGTGTAATGCAATATGAAGCTATGAATGGGATAAAGTTACATATTCTCCATTGATTTTCCATTGTATCCATTATCTTTAATGCTGGAATGCAGGTTAGTGCAAGTGCCGGAAGCCTCTGCACCTCGGCTGGCTGCTGGCTCATGAAATCCATCCCCAGGGGGCAGATAAAATCAGCTGCAAGTTGCAGAGAGGAGACAGGAGTTCCCCAAAGTGTCCAGCTTAATGGGGGAAGTGGGTAGGAAAGAGAGAGGGAGAAGGTAGACTCAGGGAGGGGGACATGAGAGGGGCTGGGAAGAAACCAGAAAAGAGCTGGAAGCAAAGGCAGGGGAAGGAGAAGAGGGAGAGAAAGAGAGAAGATCAGATCTGCCACATCAGTGAAAAATTGCTTTCTGCATGCTTAACGAAAGAGGAAGAGAAAGCTTTGTAGTCCATGATGCTGCTGCAAAGCACCCCAGGCACCACCAGCATCTCTGCCCAGCAGAACAGCAGAGCGACAGCCAAGGGGGTTCAAATGCCATTGCTTCCCAATCCCAGTTCTTGCGGAAAGCAAGCTGAGAGCTCACTGCCATTGCTGCTCAGCCCCGTGGGTCCAGATGGGTAAGGAGGGTGTTTCCAGGCAGTACTGGAGCTGGCCACCATGGCAGATCAAACCAAAGGCTGAGCATCAGCCCTGGGATGTGAGGAAGATGAGTGGGACAGAAGGATGCAGCTGGATGGGGAAAGCAGGATGCTCGGGGAGGGTTGTCGCTCAGATGGGCCCAATTGCACTGGGACTAGATGTTAACACTAACTCTCTAACAAGCTTCTCAAATCACATTTTTTAAGGCCATGTGTTAACAGAAAACAACTGTTCAAATTTAGCAAGTTCCAGCAGCACTTTCACCCTTGTTCCTTCTGGGCCGCAGGAGTATGAAACGCCACCGCCACTTCATTTTTCATTCCTCTCACAAAGGGGTAGAGCTGTTAGTCATGCAAGTGGTTGCCTTGGACAATCCCACGCAAGCAATCCCAGCAGGATTTCCCCATGTGTGACTAACTGCTCCTCCTGGGAGGCCAGAGATTCCCACTGGGAAGGTAAAGGACCCCACATTTTAGGGGCGGAGCTGTCTGTAATCTTAACTCCACAGCCACCACTGCTGCCCCCACGATGTATTTTTAAGATCAAAATCCTTCTGCAGGACAGATGACCTGCTCGTCTCCCTCCAGCCTTTACTGCTCTGGCTACTCCTGTTGACATCTGTGTCAAATTTGTGATTGATGAAACCGAGCTGTGACCAACACAAAAAATCTTTAATAAAACCCTGCCAGATTAATGGGCAGGCATTCCTTGGGAATGTTGCTCACCAAGAGCCAGCTCTGCGTGACTTCATGGGATGACATTTCTGGAAGGAACATCTCATCCCAGCTTACCTTGAAGCACATCAGCCACGGACAAGACACCTTGTGTCACCTACAACCTTGGGGACAGAGCTTGGGGGCCTTCATGCAACTTTTCCTTCAGTTATTTGGCCTGGTGGTAGAGAAGGGGCTCAATCTGACAGAGAGCAAAACCTTTCCAGCTGGTTAAAGAGAAAACTGGTCCCTTGTTTTGGTCTTTTCACAGGGGGATAGCCCAAGCCAGGCTCTGTCCCGCCGGCCCCCCTGGCTGTATGTGTGTGTACGTGCATGTGCAGCACAGCAGGACCCCTTTTCTCATTTAAACAGCCAATTAAAGCCTACTTTGGCACTTAGCACATGACATCAACTTGCAGTACTTAAGCTGCCTAGCACAGTGTGAATTTAATTTGATAAAGGGGCAGCTAATAAAGATCTTGGAAGGCTGGTTAAAGTTCATTAAGCCTTTCCTTTCAAGGTACACTTCCCTCCAGTGCAAAGGCTTGGGTCTACTTTTTTTTTCTTTTTTAAAGCTGTGTTATATCCTGCCACCAGAAAAAGGTGCTTGTGTCACATCCCGACAGGGTATATTTAAAGTCTCACTGTCAAAGTCATGGCAGGCCTTGGTTCTTTGCCCAGGAATGTGCAGAAAGAAAAATAAAAGCCTTTTTTCCCTGGCTGCGGGGCGAGGAGTGCAGTGTGTGTTAGTGCAGGCAGGCTCCTGGGAGGGGAATGGGCTTCTGTCACACTGAGCTGCATTCATCCTCCTTCTCCTGAGCCATCCGTAATTCCAGATGGATTTCATAAACAGATGAGGAGGCTCCTCTGAGTTCACTGGTTTAATGAAGCCCGTATGGCTGACTCATGTAATAAGTATTTAATCATGTTGATGAAAATCATTTTAAAAACTTCCACCACACACAGTGCCTGTTCCCCACTCAGCCATGGAGCTGATAACACAACAGCACAGCCCAGGAACCTCCGTTTTCCAGAGCCTGTCCAGGTGCCTGCCTTGACTTTCATCAGAGACTTACACTTGCATGCACTGTGCAGTGCCACCTTCTAACAAGGACCCGTTCACCTTTGAAAATACTCTTCAAATCACCCACTGAAGCGCCACAAAAAGAATTTTTTTTTTTAAGCCCCACATTTCTCATGCAGCTGTTTCAGAGGTCACTCAAGGGTTAACACTTTGGTGTTTATATCTTCTCATTAGTTTCTGTTTGTGCTCACAAATGCCCATGACTTAAAAATTTGCTGTGCTTAAGTGGTCTCCACTTGTAAACAGAGAAATGCCACAAAACATTGCAAATAGTGAGTCATCTTGGGTGGAAATTATTGCTCTTGTCAGCAGAAGTCATTATCAGTGACAAGAAGGACATGGGCCTTCATCATTCCCAGAGCATGGACCTAAATGAACACATGTAAGACCATCCACCCTGTGGCACCTGGTAGTCCACACAGTTTCAGTACATTTCACGCTAGCTCCCAAAAGTCACTCCTCCTTCTCTCCTCCAAAGAAAACCTGGAGTTGATGGTCCCTTCCAGAGCAGGCTCCACGCAGAGGGTGGGGGTGACACTCCCTGGGGGCCTTACACTTGTTCTCATGTGCTATTGTCACCCAAATGTGGACTAGAAGACTCAATGTCAATATTTGAACTTATTCCTTTGGGGAACAAGGTCCACAAATCAGTACTTGGAGGGTCGGGAAGGGCTGGAAAAGTCAGTGAGGCCTGAGAGCAAGAGAGGCCACCTTGCGTGGCCTGTAGCACTGAGAAAGTTCAAGGTGCTCCGCCAGGTACTGAGTTTTTTCCCATGGAAGGCTGAAGAAATAAACATTAAGTTCAGGGTTGGATTCATTGTCGTATTTGCCCTTACCTGTACAACTTTAAATCAGTGTCCAGCAGGTCCAGTCACTTCTTCTGAGACCTCTGGGAAAAGGAAGATGATGGATCCCATAGTGTCCTGCACAGGCTCCCAGCAACAGACAGAGAGAAGTATCCCTTGTTTTATCAACATGAAATTTTGTGGATCAGTCCAAATTTGTTGAATTAGATTTAATATTAAGTGTTGTGGGCAAGGCCATTTGAATACCTTTGATCTGTAATATAATATTTTCCAAACTCTAGAAATGTTGAAAGCCGAAGGCATGTTCGCAGTATGTTATCAGTTTCAAGGTTTCTTGTATCCTGACAAGGAAAAGGCTTATTTTATGACATGAGACCAGACAAAAATTCCACTTTGTGTCATTAACAGTTAATTTACTTTTATAAGCAATTTATTTTTCAAATCACTGAAACACAGCACAGTGTTCATGGCTTCAGAAAGTGGGTTTGTTTTAATTTCCTTACTTCACTTTACAATAGCCATTTTTCACTTCTAAACATGCAGATATGTTGAAAAGATACCAGTACAGACTGAACAGAAAGCTGACTGTGATCCTGTTTCATCCACTTATGAAGAGTGTGCCCAGGAATTACCCCATGGTTTCTGATTGAGATGCCCTTCATGCACGGTAGCTGCTGCTATAGGTAGTTATGTTTTGGTGTTTAAGTGTTTAAGTCTTCAAGACTGGGAAGTTTTGAAGACTGGGAAATCTTCTGGTTAACTTCTTTGATTCATACTGCTCTAGCACCAAGATTTACACAGCTCCAAGTAAAGGGAGTGTTACGGTCCTTAGAGGCTTGATAACAAAATCCAGAGTTCACTCTACACAAATGCTTCATCCTCCTGTTTGTGAGCTTATGAATTTTGGAGCAGCAGGATCAGATTCTGCAAATGCAGGAATTCTGTACTCCTTCTAGTATCTCACTTCAGAGCACCTAATGAAGATGTCACCGTGACTTTTCAGGGGAGCACCTTAAACACAAAAACACTGGAACAGTGGAAAGGTCTCAATTTCCTTGGTTATGACTTCCAACTCCGGAGCTAAAGGACACCAAAGAGAGAGCTTAATGCCTATAAATCATGCAGTGTGAACTGATTCATGACTCAGACGAGGTGCCCAGGCCCCTAAAGAGTCAGGAGAACAACCCTTTAAAATACAGTTTGATACTATTGCTGGAAACTTTAACCCACTGGCTTCACACTCAGGAGGGTTTAAGCTGCAAATGGCAGGAGAGGATTTATGTGTTCCTCTGAAAAAAAATACGTCAGGGTAGGAAAACTTGACCCGACGGTTTTGAGACGTGCCTGCCGTAAATAACCAGTTGATTGGCTGGCCTGTGAAGCCATTAGCAGGCGTGAGGTGCCTGTTGGGATTCAGACACCGCATAAAATGCTGGAGGTGCCAGCAAAATGGACACGGCAATTGGCTACGCAGTCGTCTTCCAGCAGAACTGCCCAGGAGGGCCCACGGAAAATGGAGCGGCTTTTATCCCACGCACTCGGCACTGGATCTCTGGAAGGGGATTGTGAGTGGGATCCAGTCTGTCGTGGGCACAGGGGGAGGAGAAGAGAGATAAAATGACCACGTTGTGCTTGGGCAGTAAATCATCTGAAAGAGCAGGAGTGTTTCAAATGAAGTTGGAGATCCTGCCCTGACAGGTTGCAGACGATGAATCTTTTCTGCTGTAAATCACCACAGCTGCCAAGTGGCACTGGTAGGTCTGAGCTAACGGGGCTTTCCACCCCCTGAAAAGTGGCAGCAGCAGTTACAGGAGAAGGGAATTTGATGACTCAGATCACAGGCTGTCAGGAGAGAGGGCCAGAGGTTGTTTTGGTTGGACTCAGTGATCCTTATGGGTCCCTTCCAACTCAGCATACTCTGTGGTTCTGTGATACTCTTTCAGAATGGGTAATTTTTACCTTTTCCGTCCCAAAAACGCATGTGATGCTGCCATCTTCACTAACACTGCTGCAGCCACACTTTCTGGACTTGGATTGATCTTTTTGCACTGTCCCACCCCGATGGAAAGGGAAAAGGTAAGAGCAGTTGATGTCCCCTGGAGCAGTGCCTGACAGGTCTTCCATTCTGGAGAAGAACTGGTAGTAGGAAGCAGAGCAGACATGATGCTGGTCTACTCCAGACACTCATTTACACCTTTCTTAGACACCTGCACATTGCAAATGAGAGGAATCTGGGTGTAAATGGCTACATAAACAGCAGGGTAATGATGAACCAGAGTCGGTTCCTCAGGGAGGCTGCAGCTTTGGGCGTTACCCTCAAACAAGGAAAGACAGGACCTTGTTCCTGTATCAAACATGAGATGAGAAGTGATGAAAAAAGTGGGAAAAAAGAAATCAGTTAAATATTTCCTATCTTTGGAGTATGGAGAGAAGGGGGGATCACAGCTCAGATGGGGTGTCTCTGCTATCAGGATGAAAAGAGAAGAGAAAATCAAGGGAGAGGGATTTTGTATGTGGAAAACACAGAGGAAATGCTGACAAATACTTTGAATTTATTCTTTTTTTTTTTTTTGGTTGTTCCTCTTTTGAACTGAAATCCGCCTTAGGCAAGGGATTGGAGGCAAAAAACTGTTGGGATCTTGCTTCTGTTTTGCAGGCAGTAGCTCCTTAGACTTCATGGGTTTGTCATATAAATTAGGAAGATAAGAATGATCATCTTATGATCATTGTCTCCTGTTGAGAACAGGAGCTCAACATCTTACCTCTGACAGTAGTCAATAATAAATGCTTTGGAAATGAGTATCAGAAAGGGAAGAGCAGTTGTCCCACACCCAGCAAGCTCCCAGCCCACAGTAGTTTAGAGTCTTCAGAAGACAGATGCTGTATTCATATGGCTTCTGCAGTGAACAGGTGCTGCTTGTGCTGTTTTCCATGAGTTTGGTTAATCCTATCCTTGGAAAGCTTTAGCCCCCACACCACCACTAGCAAGGTGTTCTGCAGTGCCATGAAGCCTGGTAGAAAAGAGAGTAGAGGGGCAGACACTGATCTCTTCTCCCTGGTGACCCGTGTCAGGACCTGAGGGAATGGCCTGAAGTCGTGTCAGGGGTGGTTTAGGTTGGATGTTAGGAAAAGGTTCTTCACCCAGAGGGTGGTTGGGCACTTTAACGGGCTCCCCAGGGAAGTGGTCACAGCACCAAGGCTGCCAGAGTTGAAGAAGTGTTTGGACAATGCTCTCAGGCATATGGTGGGATTCTTGGGGATGGTGCTGTGCAGGGCCAGGAGTTGGACTTGATTATCCTTGTGGGTCCCTTCCAACTCAGGATATTCTATGATTTTATGATAATTTCTTTTGCTTCCTTTAACCTTGCTGTCTGGCAAGTGCTTTAGGCACCATCTAGTCCTGGTTTTATGGGATAAAGTGGATAATGGCTCCACGTTCACTTCATAAGTACTGATGGCTCAGCTCATATCCCCTCCTTGCTCACTTCTTTCCAAGTGTCTTACCCTCTTTGAACTGCCCATTTTTTGGAAACCTAACACTACACTTTGGACAAATATTTTGCTACAGGAGAGAAAGTACTTGCTTTTGGAAGTGTCATTTTAATACACACAGCACAAATATTTATAAATACATACCTGAACACAGACAGGGCACTTGTCAAAACACATTCAAAGGATACCTAGGTTCTTTCATGTATTACATACTCAGAGTGAAAATAACCAGCTATATTTAACCCAGATCCAAGCCCAGACTAAATTATTTCAAAGGTCAATTAAAGAACAGAAAATATCACTCGCTAAGAGACAAAAAGCTCCCATTCATCTGCAGTTCCAAGAACTTTCACGGAACTAAAGCACAGGATGAGAAATCGTAATTAGGTACCATTTCATATAAAAATCATTGACAACTCCAAGTTCTGTACCTGCCAAGACCTGAATTCAGATGACTGCATTTGGCCTACAGCAGTTGATGGAAACTCCATCACTCACCACGGTGATGTAGTTGTTTGGAAACCAACGGCCCCTGGCAGGGAAAACACATTTCAGCTTCTGTTGAATGACTGCACATGTGAGGAGCAGGAGAGGAGACAGACCAATAGCCAGTCCTCAAATTCGAATTATGTTTTGGCTGGTGCTTAAAGTTCAGGTCTGAGGCCAAGTGGAGGCTAGAATTCAGCCTGCAATGTAATCCTGAAATCACATGGGCTCTTCTCCTCAGGTGTTGGACTTGGTGGCAGCGACCTGGGGGTATTTTCTCCCTTGAGATTGTGAGTCCGTCGGTTTGGCTGTGCTCGCTGCATTCCTGTTCTTTGGCCCTGTGTGAGGCAGTTCTGGAAAACTCTTATTTGACCACAACTGGAAAAGAAAGAGAGAAAAAAACACCCCAAGCCAAAACCCACAGATCAAATTTGTAGGACGAGTTTGAACCGCAGAGCTCAGTCTTTCACCCTGACAGTCTGCATGATCTCAGCACAGAGATCCCACAAACAGCAGAGGGAAGTGCTTGGGGAGCTGAGCTCCTGCTTCCATCACCCAGCCCGAGCCAGCAGGCGATAGCAGTCCGACCAGGAGAGCAATGAACGCAGCGAGCCAAATCCCTGAAGGAACTCTGGGATTTATTCACTTTGGCTGCTTGGAAAAGCTGTTTCCAGAACTTTACTCAACACCTTCCTTCAACCTCAGAACACCTCCTTGGGTAAACATAATCACCTTCCAGGCCTGGGCCTTACACAGAACGAGATCACTCCACACAGGGATGATATTTAGCGCAGGTCACGGTTTAAAACGCCATCAAAAATACCTGTAAGGTCATTCATGTTTCAGCTTTGCCACCAGCCCTGAGGTGAGGACACCCCAGCATGGATCTGTGATTCACACCAGAACATTTGTGCAATAAGAAGGAACAATGGCCCAGCTCCATTTCTTGTGTAGTCTGCAACTTCCTAACGCGTCTGACACACTGGGAACCCACGCGCAACACGGTGATGGAAAACTTGGAGACCAAATGGAAGTGAGGAAAAGCCCTTGGTGTAATTTTACAGCGTGTGAAAGACTTAAAGCAAGAAACACAGCCAGATGCCACAAGGAAAGTACTTTCAATTAGTTCTGCTTTGTGTTATACCTGCTGATGAAAAATAAAAACAAATTCATTCTGTCAACAGCTCTATCTATAGCATAATCCTTAAATGAACTCATCCGTCAAACCGGTCTCCTCTGGCAAAACATATTACAATCCCTGTTTCTCAGCTGTGGGAATCAATCATCTCTTTCCCAAACCCATTGGTCAACATCTTAAGAACCCAATATATTTTTATTGCGCTGAACAAGCCAGTCACAGGGCACTAACCTCACCACACCACCTATGTACAAAGGCCTCATGTATTAGCAGATTCGGTGATTCCAGAGGAGCTATTTCCCCGTAGAGGTTACATGGTAAATATGCCTGATCTGGAATAAATGCAAACCTCAGCCTTCTTGCCCCAGCAGCGTATGTGGGATGTGCTGCTGCTCACAGCTGGGCAAAGCAAGAGCACCGAGGAACAAACCAGATTTTTTCTGGGTGGACAGTTCAGGGAGTGATGTTTGAACCAGGAGACACAGAGACACAGACTTGCACTTTTCATCAGCCAAAGCTGATGGCTCTGTTGAAGCTGTGACAGAACCACCCCACCAAAGTGCTGGCAGCATTCAGAAGCATTTGCAGTATTTCTGAGTGGCAAATGTTCCCCATCCTCCATGCAGGAGGACCTTGAAGGGGGGTGATCTCTTCCCAGTGCTCTGAAGCTTGCTACTGCTCAAGAGCATACTCTCCTTCCAGCAAAGGGACCTTGTGAGAGGGAGACCTACTCTCACTGTGCTGTGAGAGTAGGTGTCAATGGAATTGTGCAGTTATGGCCATACTCCATCTTGGATGTACAAAGGGATGTAGGTGTGGGGGTTCCCAAGGGTTTTGGTGCCCAACCTCCCATGGGAGGCCAAGAGGCAGAATTGGCCAAGCTGAGATGATACAGCAGAGCAGCTTTTTACATGGGCAGATAGTGACAGGACAAGGGGGAATGGTTTTAAAATAAAAGAGGTGAGATTTAGAATATTGGGAAGGAACTATTCCCTGTGGGACACCGGCGCAGGTTGCCCAGAGAAGCTGTGGATGCCCCATCTCTGTGAGAGTTCCAGGCCAGGTTGGATGGGGCTCTGAGCAAACTAGTCTAGTGGAAGGTGTCCCTGCCCATGGCAGGGGGTTGGAACAAGGTGATCTTTAATGCCCCTTCCAACCCAAACAATTCCAAGATACGAGCTGTGCTCTGCATGAGCCACATCAGGATAGAATGGTCAGAGAACAACCTTAGTTACAGCTACTAAAGGCTGAAATGTGCCTCAAAGTCATCCTTGAAATCCCGTTTCCCAGAAAGACTCACTAGTGCTGTGAGCAGACACAGTTGGTGCTTTTGGCCTCACAATATTGGCTGATAGAAAAAAATCCATTAAAAGTGAAATGCAACCCTGGGTGTTTCTTGCAGATACATTGGCTTAGAAAGGCGAACTGCAGCAGTGGTTTTACCTGAGGCAACCTTATGAAAGCTTATTACTTAGCTGTATTTTAACTAATGAAGTGGCAACTTTCATGAAATTTACTGGGAATCCCTCAAAATAATTTATGACACAGACACCAGTGCAGACATCTAAGGAATTTTGAGCAAAGCATATCAAGGACACTCTGGTCTTACTGTCCCAGCAACAGTACCAGCTACTCTTGGCATTGCAGGAGCAGCAATATCTGACTGATAATGTACTGCTTCAAGATAAACTTCCAATCATCTCCCATGGATTTCAGTTCCCTGGGACATTTCAGAAATTTTTGCTTCTGGGTGTGAAAAGTTTTGATGCAAGTCTTGGCAAGAAGCCAAACCTTTCAGAAAGCTCTGGGTAACATTTCCCTGAATTCTTGGGTGCAAGCAAAATGGCAGACCCCACCACCAAACTGATATCACCAAGGTCTCTTATTGATGAGCTTGGATCAACAGGAAAACTGCACAGTGAAATAATTCAGGAAACACTGCAGGAAGGTGACTAAGTAATGAGGCTTAAAAAAAAAAAAAAAAAAAGAGAGAGAGAAAAAAAAAGAACATTTTACCCACATTTTTAACAATACCAGAGTTTATGGAAAGGCTGGGCTACCAGTAGCTTGGTACCAAGGTACGTCCACGGTGTGGCAACCCATCTCTCTGGGGATAGAGACTGACCATGGCCAAACTCAAGAGAACTCTGTGCCCACTTCACCAGGTGCTACATCTCCATTGCAGGGGAACACCGAAGTGTCCCTTTGGTGCATACAAATATCAATAAATTTCGCTGCAGAAAGCAGAAAAGGCAACAGGACTCATTGCTTGGTGTGGATTTTGACAGCTCAGACGTATCTGCCCAGGCCTTCCGGACCCGGCTGGTCTCGGTGCTGGGCCTGGCAGCCTGAGGAGGAGGAAGGGAAGAATTTGAGCTGAAATCAAAGCCAGGCTTCCCTGAGGAACAAAGCCACAGCTCCTGGACATGTGTGCACAGGGGCAATCTTGGGGCAGACAGGTGCCTGGCCCATGTCCGTGCATGGGGACTGACAGGGATTTTGTCAGCGAAATGTCTCCTGTACCAATACCCTTGGGAGGAAACAAGAGTTGCCAGCAGAGCTGGCCAAAAAACAAAGCAAATGAGGCATGTATTACTGGAGAGTCAAATAATCCCTGTGCAGCAAACAAAGTCAAGCTCGAGGAACGAAACCTCCCGGCTGGCAGGCGGTGGCTGCTGAGGGCACACGTGCTGTGGGACCAGCCTCTGGAAAGTCATCTGCTGTTCATCTACCCTAAACCAACTCTCCCAAATCCCCTGGCATCACCATGGGGAAGCAGCCTTGGTATCTTTCCTTTATTGGAGGAGACACACACACACACACACACACACACACACACAGAGCTCCCTACAAGCAGCAGGACAGTGTGTTTAGCCCTCCCCAGGAGCTCACTCCCTTCCTTATGGAAGGACCTGCTGTAATTCCCTGCTCTGCACAGTCGGCTGAGGCCACCTGCTTCTCTTTTTCTCACTGGCTCATTGTTCAAAAGCTCATTTGTAAAAGGAGCTGAAAGACCTCACCAAATCCAAGTATCCAAGACCTTGATCCAGCCCCAAGCTCTGCTCCTGAGCTGGCGTTGAGCACCATGAGGTTTTTCACAACAATGTATTGAGCATGCCTTGGCTGTGCTCTTGCGTGTCCCAGACATGTTTTACAATCACAAGAAGTAGAAGGATTTTTTCTTTTAAAAGATTAAATTCTGGCTGCTAGCATGGCCTCAGAGCCCTACAGCCTTTATATGATGATCAGGCATTGCTAATTCTTTAGTTCTTACTGCGGTGGTCAAAACTGGCAACATGGCACAGTTCTGCTGCTTACTCTGGGACTCCAGAGTCAGATTTTGGCACAGACCAATAAAAAAATAACAACTAAAACCATATCAGTGTCCAGCAGATACCTGAATTCTGAAGGAGATAGTCTGTTCTGTTCAAGGAAAGGTGACAAATACCCTAAATGTTTTCAGAAAGAAAAAAACAATTATTGAGACAAGGCAGGCACAGGAACATCAAATCCAGACCCTGTTGGGATGAGCCGCCCCCCAACTCCAGGTGTTCTCTCCTGCTCTCCTCTAAACCCATTGACAGAGGGGCTGGGGGCTCTTCCTGGTAAGAGACCACACTGCAGAACCCTTGCCCTCACTGTCAGGACATTTGTGTTCCCAAACCCTACATCATTCTGTCCTTGGGGAGCTGCCCTGAACACTTGAGCCCTTCACATCCCTGGGATGGCGATCACCAGCACTGAGACAAGCTATAAATATTCCTCCCAAGCTTCCCCCATCACTCAATCCTGTGGCACCCCAGCAGTGGCCACAGCCCTTGTGGAGCAGCCCACAGTGCCAGGCCGTGTGGGAGCACCACCTGCTTCCCTCTCCCAGCGGGATGCCCACGGATGCTCCAAGTCCCAGGGGTGACAGGGCATCCCGCAGGCTCTCCCAGAGGCACCGGCAGATTAGCAGCTCTATTTTTCAAGCTAATCCTCTCCCACCCCCTCCAACTTCATTCAACCTACAAGAATTTGAGAGAACTTGGCAGGCCAGGCAGGATCTATATATAAAACCTGGTGGCCATTTCGTCAAACAAACCCTGATGAGCAAATGGCCTCTGTACCTGGAATGCGGGTTCATGGAAGTGACAGGTCAGCAAAGCAGCTGCCTCTTTCCTCCCAGCACAATGGGGATACCAGAGATGCCATCAGCACGAGTTTTTTCCTACCCTGCTGTGTGCTAAAAAAAAATTATTCTAGGAACATTATGGAGCCGGGGAGTAAAAATAGACATGCAGGTTCAGCAAATGGCTCTCTCCGCTCCATGTGATTCCACCTTTTTTTTGCTGAGAATAGAAAGAAAAACAGTTGTGCCACCCTGTTAAACTCTGCTTGCTCAGCAGCTCCTGACAATGACACTTGCTGCTTTCCAAGCATGTTTTAAAAATCCTTCTGGCAAACTGGTTGCTTGTGTGGTGTCAATTAAACCAGAAAAGATGAGCCTTTAACCAGACCAGTCTGGGTGGGACAGGTCAAAAAACTTGTTGCAGTGGCCTCAGGTGAAGCTCAGTTTTGCTTATCACTACTGGCAGCAGCAAAGCTTAACACATGGTAAAGAAAGTTGGAAGTAAGGTTTGCTTTGTTCCAGGATCTCCTGCCTGGAAAGCCATCTCTGAGCCCCACACATGTCCCTGTACCAAGGCTGGGTGGGAGGCAGCTCCCACTGAAGTTTTTTTGTCTTGATGAAGCTCAGAAGAGACCAAACCAGCTGGAGCTGCTGGGATGCATCACAAAGCTCTGTGGTTGCTCTGCCCTTGCAACCTGCCCATCACAGAGGGCTGAGAAGTGACAGTGGTTAAATGATCCCAGCATTAATGCTGGTGGGGTCATTTCAGTGGTGCGGCCTGGGAGGTCCCAGGCTGGCACTGGGAACATCCCCCACCCACTGAGCCACCCTCTGTGGCTTTTTTGGACCCTGTTTATGTCCAGCTCAGAAGGGGCTGGGTGACAGGCTTTGACCTCAGGCTCTCCTCTGGTTTCCTTGAAGGAGGAGGAGGAGGATCCAAGATGGGTCACCACAATGGGACCATCGTGGGGGGTGAGGGCAAGCCAGGCAACCATCACAGGGAGGCACAGGCAGTGAGACACAGAGGGTGACAGAGCAGAGGGGCTGTGTCCCCATCCCAACCCCACAGACCCCCCTGCACAGCAGGGATGGTGCCACATGCTTTTAAATGGACAGTCAGGTCAGCAAAACACCACAATTTCAGGAGACAACCCAACAAATCCTTCCTCACCTTGCTTCTTCCTCCCCTCCACTTTCCTCCTTCCCTGGGGGACAGAAGGGCTGGGGAATTTCTGTGCCGTGGTTCCTCTGCCGCTGGAGCAACCTACAACAGTTCTGTGGCTGCTCCAGAACCAGCCTGGTTGTGTCAGAGCCCAGCCTGGGCAGAAGGAGGCCCTCTTTAGGGGCTGGATCCTGAAGATTCCAGCATCATTGAAAAGCTCTGGCATTTGGGCTTCTAAACACTTTCTGGGCCACGGGACGCCACCAGAAAAGGAGACTGACCCTCAGGTGCCCATGTCACCTGCTTGTGCCCCTTATCATCACTCAAAGCCCCTGGGCTGGCACAGGACAACAAAGAGCTTTTAAATTCACCGAATCACAGTGTTTTCCCAGGCAATGTCCATTGGACTCTCTT